TGGTATTTGGTCTTTTCTGTAAAGCCCCAGCTCCTGGGGTCATGTGATTACATGAGAATTTCAGCTCTCACTGGGGGTAGGGTCGGAAAGATGTTTCTAGCCCTCTTTGTTGCAGAGGAAAAGCTTAGGGTTTTAGATTCCTAAAGGCTCAAGAGCCACAAGACATAAGAACAGAACATTTATTATGTTTTTAAATCTCATGATTTTTAAAACAATCTCATTTTTGGGGCCTGATTCACAATCTTTGAATGCATAGGGCTGGTGCTACTGTGTGTCATTGAGACCAATTCTCCCATTCCTTCATTTGGGACAGGATGGAATGATTTGGGGGAGGGGAAGGTGACTTTAAGCCACCTTTTTAGGCCCCATATTCTCAGGTGGGTCAGAGTACTGCCCACTCCCCAGCGTGAGTTAGAGCAGACTCTGGGGTGCTGTTATGACTTTTATTTGGTTGATTATCATAAGAATTCTTAGGGTTTCTTTTCTTAATCTAACTCTACATACTCACTGTAAAGACGGATTAGAACATAATTATGGGTCTTTTGACCTGCTGTGCAACTAACCATCTATTGTCATGTAATAATGGCATTATTGCCCCACTGGGTGTCATGGAAAAGTCAGTTGCTAATGACTTGCTTTATTATTCTTAGAGGTGGCAGTAATCCCAAATGTAAAGTGGTGGCCCTTTGTTTCGTAACAAGTCAGAATACGGGTTGTTACTAATATAAAGAAGTGATCTATAAAAATTCATCTTCCAGCAGTATATGGATCGTCATTCACAAGGAATTCCCTTGTTAAAGTTTTGAACTGTAAAATAATTATCTTGCCTTGTAAAATTCTATTGGTCATAAATGAACTTTGTCATGCAACCAGCATTTGTTACTCTTCTCTTCATAACAATTCCATCACTAACACACACAAAAACCTAAACGCCACCAGGAAAGGAAGTCAGATAAGAGGGTCCTTGAAGATTATGAAAACTGCATCTCTCTTAAAAATTTGATGGCACATTTACATGAATATTACCGTGTGTTATGAGAACACCTGGAGGTCTCACCTGAGATTGGGGCCCCGTTGTGCTAGCTAGTACATACCCATTAACACAGTTGTGTGATAAAAATATATAGTAGAGCTATACACTTCTTTAAAAATACTGGTTTTATTAGTAGCAGTAAATACAGGGGTATTTCTAAAATGTAAGATAACACTGTTTTCCATTTTTTTTATTTTTTGGACATAAGACAAAAAAAAATCCCTTTCAGTTCACGCTCAATTTTGTAAAGCAAACAGATTGCATTTCATCCTGAACACGCTAAACAGTGACCCAAAAGTGGCATGGATTGCTTTTGCGTTATTCATTTTGGTACTGTAGTAGCTTGTCTATTTTAGGTTTGTTCTCCTTCCGCTGCCCTCACCTACACTTATTTAGGAATAATGAATAAAATGGTCACATTAGAAAGAATGGCCCACATTCTGTGATGAGTTGCACCTGTGTAAATTTTGTAGCTCATAGATGAGTTCAGTGCCTGTAAGGTAGTCTGGGTGGCTGGTAGCCTTTTGAGATGTGGTACATATAGCTCTAGTTATCATGAAAAAGTACCATCTCATTCCTGTAGCTGCAGCCTGAGAATCCTCATATTTGCTTATTAAGTGGTTGCAGACCCAATATGATCTAAACCAGCTGCTTGAATGAGCTCAGTGAATCTCTTGTGATAGAGCAGAATTCAGTCTCACTTAAGCTCCGATTCAGGAGAGCACTTAGGCACATGAAGCCTAGGGTCTGATCCAACGCCCCCACTGAAGTCAATGGAAAGACTCCCCTTCACTTCATGATCTTTGGTTCAGGCCTTTTACCCAACCCCTGTCCCACCCATGCAACCACAGACTGTGTGGGCTGCAAGTGACGGTATATTATACAGAATGACTTTATAAAAGGAGATATCAGATTGGCCAATGAACAGTTCTAGGGTGGAGAAGCCTGTTTGAAGCACTGTATTTCATGAAGATGGGAAATGTTTTAATTATTAATCTTAACAATAGTGTTCACCATATTAACAATCTAATTAAGTCAGAACTATTATAGTTGCATCCTTCATAAATATATGCCAGGAAGAAAATAATCTTTCATGAAATTCCATCGCTGGTTAGTATTTGTATTACAACAGAACCTCAGGCCTCAGCCAAGACCAGGGCCCCACTGCTAGATGCTGTAAAAACACACAAGAGACAGTTCTTGCCCAGAGGAGCTTACAGGAGCAACAGACAAAGGCTGGGAGGAGAGTCCCAAAGGCTGCGTAATGCTTTGTCTTTCTAGCAAGATGAGACTCCTGACTGAGCTGAGGCTTCCGTCTCGCTGATGTTTCCTAGACTCGCAGACTCAGCTCTGATCTAAACTCAGGTTTTCTGTCTTTTACCACTTCTGGCCTTACCACTTCTGCTACATCAATATCAGAAGGCTTTGATCCTGCCAATGGCTGCGCCCAAGTTCATTCTTGCACACACACAGTGCCCCGTTGATTTCAGTGGGGCTCTGCATGGTGCCAAGGTCTGCCTGCATGCAGGAGCACGGCCTATATCTTTATGGTATTGCTTACTGTTGCCCCCAATAAATGTCGAGTCATTTGAATTTTCAGCCACCATCCTGGTTTTCCCCTTTCCAGAGTGTCTGGTGAATGTTTGGCTCTGATATAAATGATTCCCTGGATTGACTGCATTTTCCACCCACATCTTCTCACCCTTGTGTCCTTTCACTTTCTTACCTGCCTTGTAGTATTTATTATGTTTCTGAGGTCCTCACATCTAGTAATCGCCATCTTGCCAGGCGTCTGTCACAGAGATTCTCATTTGCCCTCTGTTCTTCCCCTTTCTCTAGGGTATGGCTTTCATTTGGGGAAAGAAGTAGGAAATGGGCACTTCAAATAACAGAGTATTTGAAAAACAAAATTCATTTTTTTAAAATCATCATTCTGTGATTGTTTTAAAAATGGTTCAGAAGACCACATGGCACATTAAGACAAAAAGTAGCATTCTGCCCAAAACATCAGATAAGATATAGCAAGTTATTTAGGGCCAGATTCTCATACTACTAATGCTGGGTAGTATCTTACTCCATGTGGAGTACCATTAAGCCATAGCCTCAGCTGGTTTAAACTGGCAGAACTCCACTGACTTCAGTGGAACCACGTTGATTTACACTCCCTCAGGATCTGGCCTGTAAACTTCAGTGGGGACCCATGGAGTAAGATACTAGTCAGCATTAATAGCAGGATCTGAACCTGGTCTTTTGTGAGTTGTATGAAATTAGCTGCAGCTAAGCCCAAATATATTGTGAAATTGCTAATATTTAAGAGTAAAGTTCAGACTGTTTCATCAGCAGTACAGAGCATAAGGAAGGAATTGGGTAAGGAATGGTGTCTCTAGCCTCTGTTTGTCACAGGGTGGAGATGGATGGCAGGAGAGAGATCACTTGATCATTACATGTTAGGTTCACTCCCTCTGGGGCACCTGGCATTGGCCACTGTCGGTAGACAGGATACTGGGCTAGATGGACCTTTGGTCTGACCCAGTACGGCTGTTCTTATGTCAAAAATTCATTGTCGAATTCAGTTCAGCTGAAGGGAGAGGCATTGGTACCAAGGGAACTGCAAACAGCTGTACTTAAAATGAGCTGAATCTTTTCCCGAAAGCTTTATCAATCAATCAAAGAACTATTTGATCATTTTCATTCAGACTCTCATAGTTTTCATGCTTGTTAATTTCGATCAGCTTTATCCTTCCAACTACTGGCTGGAGAGGATGCCGAAATACAGACATTTCATAAGAGAAGTTTTCCTTATATAGGTGTTTCTGCTCTAGCTAGAACCAAGGGACACCAGAAATCTCCCAAGAAAGCCATTGCCCCAAGATACAGAGCCTGATTTTCTTGAACAGGTTCAGACAGACAAATTTCAGATAAGTGCCCAAACTAAGATACCGATGCAGATTAACCCAAAACACTGAAGCCCAGATCCGCAAAGTTGGTTAGGCCCATAATGCCTATTGATTTCAGTGGAAATTAGGAGCCTAAATACACCTTTGAGGATCTGGGCCTGAAGCGCCTCTTTTTGATGCTTCTGTAGTCTTCTAGTTGTTCATTTGACAAAAAGCAGGATTTAGTAAGACAACAATACTCTGCACCTATATAGCAATTTGCAATCAAAGACCTCAAAGAATTTTACAAAGGTAAGTGTCCTTTACCCCCATTTTATAGCTAGGGTAAATGAGTCACAGAGAGATTCTCCTGATTTTCAAAAGCGCTGAGCATCCCCCAGTTGATGGGAGCTCTTTGTCTACCCTTTCAAATGTTACATCCTAAGTGACTTACTTAAGATAGTTACGTACCACAGTCGGTGATGGTTGAGGTACAAGCCTTGGTAGAATAATGTCAACACAGTTAGTGCTATAGCCAGTATTAGAACTTTAGTTCTCTAACTTCCAGCTCCAGGTTCAATCCACTAGAGATATGGCCCCAAAACATCATACAAGGGTGCTCCAATTTTGAATTCTGAACTGGACTTTGTAAATGGCCCCTGTCTTTATTATGGAGTGAATCCAAATCCCAGATATAAACACCCCCAAACTTTGGGTTGTTGGCAATCCCGAATAAAATGTTACTTCTGGAGCCCATTTCTTTTTCAGATTAATTCTGTGATATTAATATGAAATATTTGACTTATTAAATCTCGCCAATTGGAAATCGAGATTAATGTTTCAAGAGCGAGGGAAACATTTAGCTTTATTCTTTGATGAGAAGACTCATTCTGCTTTCCACACAGCCTGTTGAATCAACATCTGCAGTACAACTATGGCAGTTACAAGCACTCACCTTGTGCTTATGACATGTCTACCCTAGAATTACTTTGCAAACATTTAAATTCATCTTGTTTTTGTCAACGAAGGGATGAGGATATTAATGCAATATTACCTGGGCCTCAGATATACATCACACACTGACAGGGAGCCAGAAGAAATGGTATTTAATTATAGTATACATCAAAATAAATTTCATTCCAAAGATTGCTTTCCAGTTCATAATGATTTATTACTTGTCGTCCAGTAATTCCTACTAATCCCAATGAGGATTGGGACCCCATTGTGCTAGGCATTGTACAAACACAAAAGTAAAAGATGGTCCCTGCCCCAAAAAGAGAATCTGCTGCTTTTATATTTAGTATTGATCATTCTGTTCACAGGAAGACTCTAATGAGGTTTACCCTTTTTAATTGCTCATGGAGTCTGAAATTAAGGCACCAGCTAAAAAAAATTTCAGAAGTGTCTAAGTGATTCAGGCGCCTGTCCCATTTTCAAGTGACTTAGGCATTTAGGAGCCTAAGACTCACCTCAAGTAAACAAGATGCAGGTTCCTAAGTCCCTTTGAAAATGGGATTTAGGCACTTTTGAAAATTTTACACCAGATCCTTAGCTAGTGTAAATCAGTGTAGCTCCATTGACTTCAATAGAACTACGACGATTTATAATCAGCTGAGGGTCTGGCCCAGTATCCCTTTTTTCCTATAGTAGTTACAAGCTGGGGAGATACTAGTTGTCTGATTTACGTTCTAGAGTGGTTAGCAGGATGGAGAAAAGTTCCAGTATCCCCAAACTTGGAGTGAGGAGGACCCAGAAGAATTTGTTATTTGTGCGCTCCCCTGCTGGCTACTAGTAGATCATCTGGTCTCCTTGCCAAAGGCCTTAATTCTGGTCCCTCCGATGTTAAGGAAAGTTTTGTTATTGATTTCAAAGAAGCAGGATTAGACCCCAGTCTTCTGTTGAAATGAATTTGGAATGGGAAGAGATAAAAAATTGTTAGCCACGCACCCCTCCCAAATGGGCCTTTTGCTTAATAATTCTACCCTTTTCCAGGAACTTTCTGTCTCAAATACCTCTACAGCCAACGAGTAAAGAACAGGCCAATACAGCACCTGCCAGTGCATCAATGGGAGGCAATGGAGATATGCCCTCAAAGCCATCACAGCCCCTTTATGGTCATTTTCCAGCATGTACATTTCTGGTTTAGGGCCAGATTGTGATACCTTTATCCATATTGGACTAAGTAGTACCTCTCACTATGCATAGTCCTACTGAATTCAAAGGCATTACTTGGTGAGCAAGACACTACTCAGTCTGAGTCATGGTATGACAATGAGGCCCTTAATGGCAACATATCTGGCTGTCAGCATGAAACACTCACACTCCTGGCACTACAGATATTTTATCCAGTTGCAGAGGAGGGAAACCCAGCAACAGGCTAGGAAGTGGCATCAGAACTATGCCCTTGGCTTGTTAATTGGAAAGGGAAAGTTAATAAGGCTTGCCCTACAATTATGTACAATGTAAGATAACTGGCTTATATTAACAGTTTTTATTGAGCAGGAGACCAGGTGATATTAGACACCAAATCCCTTCTCACTTCCTGAGGTGATAGTGGGATTTCACTTCTCACTTTTCCCCCCTGCTCCAAAGAAGATCAGGATTTCTCCAAACCCCTTTGGACGTGTAGAAAGTTCCCACTAAAAAGTGTGGTTACCAGCCCATTCAGGTACATAGCAGCAAATGCTACAGGCTTCCTTGAAAACTACCCACACCTGTAAGCTGAGAACTCCCAAAGCAGTCCACATGTTTTAATTCCCTCTTCCCTTGCCCCTAAACATTTTCACTCAGAATGCCTACATGTCAGGGAATATCATACATTTTTGAGCTCTGCATATTGGCAGTAGCCACCAGATGGATGGTGCATTTCATGGTCACTGGGTAGCCAGCCATTGGGTTATGTATTTCATTCCTGGTCCTTCACTAAATTTGGGTTCATATTTGTCTGGACTATTGACCAAACCACAATTTGTCAGCCTTTAGTAGCAGCTGTACAAAGGATGAGCTTATGTCTGTCCTCACAAACACTGGTTGACTATCATCATTGACTAGGCCCAGGTGTTTCCTCATGATTTTGTTCATTTAAAGAAAGAAAAAAAAGAAAAACCTTCAGTTCTGACCTTTACAAAAAGAGAAATAAGAAAAATTTTGGCAATATATACAGGTGGGGAAATTGCACTTAATTACAGTAGTTTACATCCATTGGACAAAATTTACTTCTTTAATATAACTCTCTATTTATAGATGGAGATGGAAGGATCGGAGAGGAGAGAAGTTTATCTATATTTACAGTTTAATTGGCTCAGTTCAACAGAACATGCGATTCCTTCTTCCAAACTCCAAGTAACAGCTCCAAGTCTCATCAGTCTGTTTGGTGAAGGAATATAACTTAAATATGTTTGATCTTCGTCTTCCTCTTCTGCCATCTGTACATTTTGTTCTTAATTTTCTCATGAGAGCCAATGCCCTCTCAAAGGCAAATACTTAAAATCCTCAAGACATCTCTTGGAAATACTGCGTGAAGGAAATGGAAAAGCACAGTCTCTGGGAGTAGGCACTTCGGTCCTGTCAAGTCACAGAAGGGTGGCTATTAAGTCTTGAAGCGCTAGCTCTTTTTCAGGTTAATGGGCGTCTCGCTATAGCACTAGACAAGCCGGCTGAGCTTCACTATGGCAACACCCCTCGGACTTCGTTGGTTACCGGCGTGATGTTGTGGAAAATAAGTTCCCGTTGCTAGGTGCAGAATAAGTGAGGTGTGGAACATCACCAGGCTTGCAGGGGACACTGGGAGGGAAAGAAACAGGATGCGTGAGTTAGAGAGCGTACAAAAAAATGTTGCAATGTGCAGAGGTGGAGTCACTGGACCTGGATGATTTTATGACACTCGGGATTGAGCTTTCAGGACCATTCAGGTGTTCATAAAACGTTCAGTGTGATACAGACAGTAATTCGTACGCTGCCTTTCCTTCCATAATATTATGGGAGCAGAACATTCTGTCCTGCACAAAGGCTCCAATGTGCCAAGCAGCCTCAGCTCCACGGAGTTCTGCTCGTATTCTACACATCCCAGGAGGTCCGTTTATTGACCCAGGCTAAGATCCTCAAAAGTATTCAGGGACCTAACTCCCTTTGAAATGAATGCGAGTTAGTCACCTAAAGGATCTGGATCATAGAGATCAGTCCCGTTTATACCAATTCCCATTAGCCTCAATGAATTCAAGGGGAAAATACTCCAAGGTTGCAGATTGGGCCCGTAGCTCTTAGAAGATTTTTATGCAACCGGTACATTGGGGCCAATCCTGCCAGCTGACTTGGTAGTTAAGGACACTCATCGGGGCCTAATCCAACTCCCACTGTAGTCAGTGGGTGTTGGATCATGCCCAAGGTCTCAAGAGTTGCAATGGGGAACACAGTGGGAAAATAGTTTTCACGCCAGATGTTGCAAAAAAGGGCCTGTGTGTGCCCAGCCTATGGGAGAAATTGTTCCAAGACCAGTTCATTTGCCTTTGCAATGCTGCCAAGATCAGCCAAGCGTATGGAGATCTGCTGAGTAAATGCAGTCACACGAGTTAAAAGTTGCTTGGGGGGCAGCTCATGTTACATACAGGCCAGGAGTGATGACCCTCTGATGGCTTTCTTGTGACCTATGTAAAATGAGTTGAGGATCTCAATCCCAGATCCACACCAGTATTTAGGCTCCTAACTTGCTGGGCAGGTGTCCACTTCACATCATCCACGCAACTGGTGCTGCCTTACCAGCACTCTCAGCAGAAAATGGGTAATGGGACTCACTTCTTGCACCTAGAGGTGGTCCCTCCAGATCAGAGTTGAGGCATATTGACCACTGGGGAGCATAGGAGATGCTTGCCTTGCTGCTGCTTCTGCTGTGTGGCGGCTACACGGAGGACTCCTGTCTCTGGTTTGTCTCACCAGCACTGACTAGAGAGAAGACACGGTGTACAACATGCCCCTCTGCCATTTCTTTTCTCGTCTGCTCGGTTCATCCTCTCTCTTCCTGTCTCACCTCCCCAGCCCCACTCCTGACAAGGCGCATGCTGCATTTCAAGAGAAGCTCCAAAGGAGGGAGAGAGGTGAGAGCACACACTGAACCACTTGAACAAGGGCAGGAGGGACAGAGCTGAGCCCTTGGTGTCTCTCTGGTTTTGGAAGCATTGGTCAATTATTTCCCACCTGGAGGTTCCATGATCCTTCACTCTCCACCCCCTCCCATCTCGCCTACTCAGTTCTTCAATTTTCAGATTTTGGGTGGAGAATGAGGAAGCCTGGGATGACCTTGTAGATTCAGTGAAACATCATAACAGGGAGATAAGGAGCCGCCAGGAGGCCTCTAGGACATGTCATTAGGGATGGGCCTCAGAGCTATCAGATGTTTGCTAATGCAATAAAATGGTGGCTCAGCCTTAAGTGTTGTCAAAGGAACTTATTTACCCCTTCCAAGTCTAAACATAAACATCTGATAAGAGATCAGCAGTGTGGTGCTCAGAGCTGAAGCTGGCGAGCCCAGCCCAAAGGGGTGGCTTAACCGCTTAACATAGCATTCTGCACTGTTGAGCAAGAGACACTGGCGGTGTTCCTCTTCCTGCTTCCCAGCAGGATGGGGATAGAGCCCTGCAACTGGTCCAGGAGAGGGAGGGCCACAGTATAGCTCAAAGGGCAAAGCCTACCACCAAGCTACATAGATAAGCCCCATCCACTTTTGCTCAGCTGGAAGGATCCTGTGAGAGGCTAGGAGAGGGAAGCTAAATCACGGATAGGCTTCGCATGAAATCTCGCCTTCGAAATGTCTTAAAATCTTATAAATACAGGAATTTGCACTGGGCATTTCAAACTTTCCTGAGAAAGGAGCACCCTGGCCTCCCATTTTTATTGGTCTGTCAATCAATACAGATTTTTCCAGCCTGATCAAGTCTAAACAGTGGCATTTACCTATTTAGGAATGGGAGTGGAGACCATCTGGGGCATGCCCTCCTTCTAGCCCTGCTCCACACACACACACACTGAACTCCTTCCAGATACGTTTCTTCTTTTGCACCCATTCTCTTCCTCTTGCAGCAGATATTATAATGCTCTTCACCACATACCACCACCACAACAGCGGCTACCAAGAAAATGCTAGGCTCCTCCTCCTACTTCGACCTATTTAAGCCACTGCTTGTATGCGCCACTTTCCACTATTGGCTGGGATAGTCAATCTGCTCAAGTGCATAAAGTTCCTTCTACTGACTGCTCTGGCAACAGGCCTCAACCCAAGGTAGGGTGACCAGATGTCTCAATTTTATAGGGACAGTCCAGATTTTTGGGTCTTTTTCTTATATAGGCTCCTATTACCCCCCACCCCCGTCCCGATTTTTCACACTTGCTATCTGGTCACCCTAACCCAAGGAGATGTAAGTTTTGGAGATGAAGGTTCTAATTCTCATCGCTGTGTATGTGCAATGAGTAGGTGGCCATGCTGTCTTATGCATTCAGCTGTGGATGGATACGAAGCTAGTTTAGCTCTGGGCCTTGTGCATTTAAGGTGAGTGTGTCTACTTGCACGTGGCTTGGCACAGAACTTTACCATGGGAACCACTAGCATTATGTTTTCAACATCAGCGCTCATATCCTTCTGAACACCCAGAGCAAAACTCCAGTTAGCAACCAGTGTGAGAATGGGGGTCAAAAGGAGCACTGTGAAATGACATGTATGAGATCAGGAAACAAAAACCTGTTTATTGAACAAAGCCTTTTGACTCTTTTTGTCATGTCAAAATAGAGCATAAATCGGTCAAATGATTAGCTGGTATCCTAGGGCCTGACCCAAAGCCCCCATCTAGGGAAAGGCTCCCATTGACTTCCCTGGGTTTTGGAACAGTCCCTTGATGTCTTCTCTTCAGAATTCTGCTCCCCTCTTGCTAAAAGCAGTAGGTGGCAATGAAAAAAATATTCAATGATGTTTAAGATGAAAATTATTTCTTGCCTTTGCCGCTAACGGTCAAACGGTGTTTGCAGAATGGATCATAGAAAAGCAGGCCTATCTATGCAAACTTGGGCCTGGACACTTACTAATGAGCTTTGTTTGGGACGGCTGAGGGTGAAATGTATTCCAGTGCACAGACCCTTGCATCACTCAGCTCCCACTCTAGCCCTACTCTTGTGGACTTAAAATGGGACTTAAGTGGGTCACTTGCCTGGTGCCGGGCCTGTGCCCATAGAGAAATTTCATTCTATGCTCAGTACAATTTGCATGATCAGGTGCTATGGTTGGGTAACGTGGTATTTGCTGATTATGCTCAGCACTTGTTTGCATGGGATAAAACAAGAGTACATTAAAAAAATTCAAGTAAAATAGTGTGTGTGTGTGGGGGGGGAACGAGTGGCTTGATTATCTTGGCCAGCCATGCTTCAAGGTAGGCTGATCATTCTCTCCAACGAAGGGCATAAGCCGTCATTAGGCTCCATGACAGGCCTAGCGGGTAGCATCGTGCACTATTTTGATTAAAAAGAACATTTCCTGTATTCAGAGGGCTTGTTTCAACAAGCAAGCATCAAAGTCAACTAGGGGTAAGCCAGGATAATTAATCAAGAGAGAAGTTAGGGCTGAGCGCACACCAGATGGATTGATAAAGCCTTTCAAAGGAAATGGTATTCCCTAGGAGTGCTGATGCGCCTGATTGCCCGACTGATTGAGATTTGTGGGCACAGATAAATGTTTTCCCTGCACACTACAAAGAGTGGGAAACCTGACAGGAGTCGCAGGGGCAGTGGGATTTGGAATTACACTTTCACCTTCCATTTTGTGAGAGAAAGGTTCTGTGGCGGGTCCCACACCCGGGGCCAGATCGTCAGCTGGCATAAGTGTATCTCCATTGACTTCAAAGGAGCTCCGCCAAATCACACCCACTGCGAATCTGGCCCACTGACTCCAATGGAGCTGCATCAGTTTACACCAGCTGTGTGTCTGGGTCATTGTACTTGGTCTTACACAATCCTGTTTCTTTCATTTTTTTTATGGTGGCAGAGCCTTCCCTTTGCCATCCTCGGAGGGAAACTTTAAGGGCATCTGAAAATGAACCCGGGCAGCAATTCCAAACATTATTTGCTGTGCATTTGTTGCAAAGATTTTTCTCTTCCCACCGTCAGAGCTTAGCAAAAAGAAGTTTATCTGGATACAAGTTCAAGGTTGTCTCCTATTTATCTAGTAATCGATAAGGGCCACATATTTCCCACAGTCCCCAGAACACTTTTTTTTTTTTTAAAAGGGCTATTGTCTGATCTGGACACTAAAAATGTAGGGCCTGATTCACCTTCACTTATGTAAATCTGGTGTGACACCAATACAGATTTGGGGGCTGGGGACCAGATTCACAGCTGGTATAAATCAGCATAGCTCTATTGACTTCACTGGAGTTGTGACAGTTTTTACCAGCTGGGGATTTGGCCCAATAACTTCAATGCTGATACACACAAGCTGAGGATCTGGCCCCAGATTCCGATCTCATTTCCACTCATCTACATTTAGTTTAACTCCAATGACTCTGACAGTTACTCTGGCTTGTCTCACTTGCAGTTTAGAGCCAGTCTCTCAATATAATCATTCAATGTCATTTTCAGTAAGCCTTGAATGACACCAAAAAGTCATTTTGATTCAAGGAAGTTAAATTGACTTTGATGGAGTTATGCCAGAGATGAACTTGGTCCATTGACTTTGCTGCATTTATCAAAGGCTCTACACACCACCTTCAAAAGACAAGCCTGGGAGCTTGAATTCATAACTTTGCTAGACACTAAATAACATGGTCTTCATAAAGACACGGGATTTATGACTTATTAAAACAATCTGTAACCCACTAATCTCCCTCTTTATCCTATGACTACATGGGTGTTAATGGGCCACTCCATCTTAAATGGTCTTGGAATCTATGTGTTAACTACTTATGCTAAATCATCTGTTCCTTCTTGTATTTAGCTGGGACACTCTGAGTATCTTTCCCAGACCTGAAGAACTCTGTGTAGCTCTTTCACCACCAGAAGTTACCTCACCCACCTTATGCTTTTTAAAACAAGTCATAATAAACCAGCACAGCTTGGTGTTACATCCTCATGCTAGTCATTTTTGGGGCCAGGTTTTAAGAAGAAAATGAACTGGATTCACAATGGGTGACAGGTGTTGGGTTGAGAGCTCTGGAGAGTGGAGTGAAGTCCTCCATATATACACTGAATAGCACAGCCCAAGCCACGCAAGGACAAGCTTTCCCCTACACAGATCTGCCAACATGCCTTAACTCTGCGCTGGGATCACATATAGAGGTAGGTGGATCGCTCCCTCTCCACAGCCCATTCACGCTGGGCCCTTTCCTTTGAGTCTGCCAGTAAGAATGCCAGTTACCAACATGGACACTTGTGCACTGTGAACAATCCTGAGACCACCCATTAATTTCCACACAAAACATTCAGCTGCTGTGGTTTATATAATGGGCCGGTATTTAGGGCTGAATATCAAACACTATCCAGAAATAGCAACACACAGGCCTTTGGATCAGCTTTTGTGAATGCTGGTGTGGTCCCTGAATATCACTCTTAGAACAGTGGAGCTGAGAAGCAGACACTGGGGTCTATTCACCACCAAAAGTATTGGCTTAAACTCCCATTAGCAGTAGCAAGCGTACCAGGGAAGTACACCGTTCACACTGAGAGAATCCTATCCCACTTTCCCAGTATGCGCCATTACCTGTTTATTGGAAGACATATTGGTTAATGTACTGATGCTGCTGGTATCTGTGACCACCATGGCTGATGGAAACCGGGAAGTGTGGGAATACTGGGGAGGCTCCTGCTTGTGTGCATACACTATGAAAATGAAGGAGACAGACAGCAATCATACAAATGCCAGCTACAGTCTTCATGCAAATGCAAAGCAGTCAAACCAAAAAGTTTCCAACACATTTGTGGGTTTTTTTTGTAAAAACAAATAAGGAGGAATGCTCGGCGTCCTCCTTAGAGGTCTGGAGAATCCACCTGGTTTCTCTGCAGCAGCATTTGGAGAGATTAAGGGTTAAAATGGCATGGTTTGATCCAACAGCTGAAGACCCTCAAACCACTTTCTGGGAGGCCATTCTGCTGGAGAACCAAATGCACAAACAAGACAATGAGCAGGAGTGCTGGACAAGAGCATTGGAGGCAGCATAGGCAAATATCCTAGATGAAGTCAATGGGAGTTTTGTTTACCAGGCTGACCAGGAATGGAAATGCCTGAATTAAGAAGCAAGCTCTTTGTCCAGCTGAAAAGTGTGAAGCAACTTCCCATCCTGTTCTCCTCAGCCAGAAAAAAGGTAAAAACAAATTCTTAACTCTGGTTAGTTTTTGACCAGCCTTAACAACCGTTTGATAGAAAATTGGGTTTTCAGCTAAATTTTTTTTTGCAAAAAATGTCTGCTCTCTGAAGAAATTTTTGATTTTTCATCAAATAATAGAATTCCCCAAAACTGAAATATTTCAGTTATGAAGTGCTGCTACAGTGCCTCATGGGAGTTGTAGTTCAGGTTCCTCATGCTTTAATTCTTCTCTATGGCTGGTCTCCCCAGACAAACTTCATCTCCCATGATGCACTACTACCATATCTACCATATAACTGCCATGATGTACTACCTCCTCTCATCAAGAAGAGACCATGATGCATCCTGGGAGATTTAGTCTAACCAGGGACCCTAGTGGAGAGAGGAATGGATGCACTAGGTTCCTGAGCTTCAGCTCCCATGAGGCACCACAGTGGTATTTCACAATCTAACTATTTTAGTTTTGGGACAAAATATTTTGCTGAAAATCCACATTTTCTGTGCAAAACAAACACACACCCCACCTCCTTTTCTGACCAGCTTTAGTGTTTAGCAAGATATTCCATCTGCTGCTGCTGTCAAACCTCAGTTCGAGGACCTACACCTCTACCCCGATATAACGTGACCTGATAGAACACGAATTTGGATATAACGCGGTAAAGCAGCGCTCCGGGGGGGCGGGGCTGCGCACTCTGGCAGATCAAAGCAAGTTCGATATAATGCGGTTTCACGTATAACGCGGTAAGATTTTTTGGCTCCCGAGGACAGCGTTATATCAGGGTAGAGGTGTATGTTATAATCACCAACCTGCTGGCCAAGGAGAACTGGAAGAGTCTCCCCTCACAGTCTCTGCTGCTCCTCAGATGGCCAAAGCCTTATTGTTTAATTACATGAGGCCCCTGCCTGCCTGGTAAAACTAAAAGCCGGGAATAAAGGCCATGTATTCCATTTGGCAAAACAAATCGTTAGTCACAAGGACTAGGCAAGGTGTTTTAAAAGATTTGTTGTTAAGCTTGAGTACATGCTACAGGTAAACTACACCTGAAAATTTAGTAAACATAACGGGAGCATACACTAGTTTACAGTTAGACTGGGGTCTTGGAGAATAGTAAAACTGCAGTTCACTTATATTATGCAATTAGGCATCTCAACTGCATTGTACATTTAAGCATCTTACAGAACACGATTCCCCAATAATTTGGGGAAGGAAACCCTGGACACACAAGATTTCTTATTCTAATCTAGGTCATAATGTATTTTTAAATTTTTTTAAAATGATCATGAGAGTGTAAATGAATCAGGCACAATCTGAAAATTGTTGTTCGTAGAACTGTAATATGAGAAAAGCTCAACTGAAAAAAACACTAACAGACATAAAAACAAAGGCATCATTTGCAGAACATACGGGTAGTTCATCCTCCCCCACATACCTATGTTCTAACTTCCTCCCCAAAGTGCAAAGACCATAATAAGTAAAATGAAATGGTTGGGATTGTCAAGGAGACTCAGGGAGTTAGGCACCTAAATCCTATGGACTTTTACTGACTCCCTTTGAAAGCCCTAGCCAACAAATACAGCCATACGGAAAAAAAGTTATCATCTGCTGCCTGCCCAAATGTCCACAGAGCTAAACCTGTTTGTTTTTCATCACCTGCCTGGCCCCCTAACTCCAATGATCATGTTGAGTGCACCTTAAAAGGGTGGTCCTATCAATTGCAGTTAGAGAAGAACTCAAAATCTCCTTGGATAGCACAGTGCAGGCAAGCACAGGCGCTCTGGGGACACAAACAGAAGATCCTCAACCAAATTCTGCTCTGGTGTAAATCCGGAAAAACTCCACTGACATTATTCTGAATTTACGCCTGTGATCGAGAGCAGAATTTGGCTCCTGGACTTGCAGACCGAGTATGAAGGAATAAGTTTGTGCAGCGGGAAGGTGCACTCTGTATTCTAAAAGAGGAGCAAATACATGTACTATGGAAGGGTGAGATGGGAGGGGTGTAACAATGGGCAGTGGGCAACATTAATTGCCACGTGTTGGCGCCCTCTGATGAAAGCTGAGTCATTTCCTCATATAGTCCTGAAAGGTGAAGTTAGGGTGTTTTCATTCCCCTGATGCTCTTTGGGATTCAAAATTCTTCCATGGTGCACCCTTTTTATCTGACTGCTTTAGTGCTGGAGAGTTTGCGATTCCCCCATGAATCAATCTACTTTGGAAAGGGAATGTCCTAACACCTGCAGGAGAAGATGACGCAGGTCATGAGTTAGAACCAACTAGCCGGAGGGGTAGAGAGGGCAAGGAAGGGAGAAAGCAAAGTTAATTCAAAATGTATTTATGACAATTGGCAATTATAATGCAGCTAAATCCTTCCCTTCAGGCCTCAACAAATACCTGACAAGATCCTTACTGTGTGAATTCTGCAGCTGAGTCACTGTGGCCATAAAAGGCTGCTGTGTCATATGGCTGGGCGACTGTTGCATGAGAGGCTGTTGATGAGGACTGTGTAGCTGCTGGGAAAACTGGACTGGTTGTAAAGCTGCCAGACTTCCGGCAACACTGTTGATAACAGGGACGCTCTGCGCCTGGGAAGTATTTAGACCTATGAGAACAGAGGAGAACGAAACAACATGTCAAGATTTCAGTGCTGGTGGAATCAGAAACAGAGACGGCTGCTGCAGTGGAATAAAAATCGAGATGAATGTTATCTTCATACATTGGAGATACCTACAAGGGTTGTGCTGTACACGGTCTGCTTCTATCTGCAGTACAGCAGGGTGTGCGGTAAAATCAAAGGGTTTTATCCCCCTCTCAAATACATCTGTTTTCACAGCTTTCAATGGAGTTCCTCCTAGTTTATGCCCAGAACAGCTGGTCAGATCAGGCCCTAAACACTCTGGGTGAAATCCTGGACCCGCTGAATTTAATGGCAAAACTCCCATTGACTTCAACAGGGCCGTTGATTTCACTCACAGCACCTAGCCACTGCTTTCCTTCCCCTCTGAACTTGGTGGCGAAACACCATAGCACGTGGCAAAAGACCACAAAGTGCGTTAGTGCTGGGAGCAAAGAACATTACTGTACCCAGCTGGAACTACGGAGGAGGGGGAATTCAGAGCTGCAGAACGGAGTTACTCGCATACTGCTTCTAAACATACCAGCCGAGGGGATAAAAGCCCTATCCACCGGAGTGTACTGAAACTAGAGCACGGTGAGGCACTTACTTTGCGCGATTGCCATGACGCCAGAGAGCGGTGTCATGATGAGGTTCTGAGATTGTTGTGGGTTGTGATGGGGCAAGCTGTGGATATTGGTCAGGGTACTTACAGGGGGCAGCCCACCTCCCGAAACAGAGATCTGTCAAGAAACCAAAAGGGACAACAGATGTCAGAGGCGCAATGGACAAAACAGCTTCTAGTCAAATGAAAGTGACTTTGGCTAGGGCCAGCCATACAGAAATGACTCCCTTCATGCATGACTAGGCCATTTCACAAAAAAGACAAGCAAAATCATCTCATGGAAAGTGACCCAGTCAGTTGGGGGGAAACCACAATTTATGTCAGTTGGGAGCTCTCTGGGGCAGGAACTCTCTTTTTGTTCTATGTTTGTACAGCGCCTAGCACAAAGAGGTCCTGATTCATGACTAGGGTGACCAGATGTCCCGATTTTATAGGGACAGTCCCGATTTTTGGGTCTTTTTCTTATATAGGCTCCTATTACCCCCCACCCCCGTCCTGATTTTTCACACTTGCTGTCTGGTCACCCTATCCATGACTGGGGCTCCTACGTGCTACTGCAGTAGAAATAGTTAAATAAACCACAGCAGCAACAGAGAGAGGCATTTCAGGAAACCTGCTTCCACTGCTTCCATCAGTCTACCAGATCCTAAATTTTGGATCCTCAAGTCACGCTGCAAAAACTCATCTTTTTTGCTCAGGCCTTTTCTGAGTAAACAGCAATGTCGCCAGTTCTTGAGAGTTCATTGCAATTTTCTTGGTAATTAGTGTTTTATTCTTAAAGCCGCAGATCCTGGAGTCATGTGATTATGGGAGAACTTTCATTAAAAAAAACCACAACACCACCAAAAACCCAATTACTTTCTAGCCCTCATGGTTACAAAGGAAAGGTGAAAAATTCAAATCATAAAGGTTAAAAATACAGAAGGCAAAGAACAGACCCCACATGTATTATTTTTAAAAATTTCATTAATTTTTAAGTCAGTTTCATCATTCTAGGGGGCCAGACTCATGGTTTTTGAACGGCTGCAGCTGGCAATCCTGAAACAGGCTATATGGTGGAGGAATGCTAGTTAAGTGAGTCTGGTTAGGTTTAGGCTCCAATTCAGCAAGGTACTTAAGTAAATGCCCAACTTTAAGCATGTGACTTGTCTCATGGAGTTCAAGGGGACTGCTCATGTGCTCAAAGTTACAACACATGCTTATGTGAACGTCTTGCTGAATCGAGGTCTTGATGTTTCGGACAGCGACTCAATTGTTCTTACATGGGTGCCTAAAATGAGGTTATTTAGGCCTGGTCTAGATGGGAGATATGTCCCAATTACAGCCATCAATATAACTGCACTACTGCAACCCCCTGGTGCAGACAAGGCCAAGTGCTTGACACCACAATAAGCTTTCCCAGTGCATATTGTGGCTTTCCTTGTCTACAATGGTGAGGGTTTGCACCAGTGTCTGAAATTGGGGTCCCTGATGCAGGCAAGGATTCAGATACCTAAATAAAACCAGTCTGATTATCAGAAGTGCTGAACATCCACAAATTCCACCGACATTGATGGGAGCTTCAGGTGCTCATCCCTTTGAAAAATCATTCCACTTTTATTTAGACACCTCAGTGTGGATTTAGAGACACTTCGGGGTTCCAGGTGTGAAATTTTTGGTCTCGGTTTGCAAGTGTATCATGCACATCTGAGCTTGAGATGGGCCTTGCTTTAATTGAAACAAACATATCAATGCATTTCAGAGCATGAGAATGAGTCAGATTTTCTTATCCAGTATTTTCCCTTTTCAAAAAGTTCTTCAAGGCCGGCTTACACCACAGCAGGTGTGCAAGTCAAACAATCAGTCACAAAACCATGGAACTCTTGCAGTTTGGGCTAATTTCAAACTTGAGATTAGGACCAAAAACTTGAACCAAAAGAAACAAGCTAGAGATCACATGACAAAGAAAGTATTCAAACCACATCATTAAAACAACCCTCCACTGAGTTTTCCATAGCTGTGATGGTAAAAGGCAATGAAGGCTCATAAAACAATGACAAGCCCAAACTCCTGATAGGTTCAATAGCATGTGCCTCAAAAAAAACAAAACACAACATTACTTTAAGCTGCAACGACTTCCTTGGCTGTTGTTAATTTGATATGGGATATTAGAGAAACATGTTTACTCACTGGAAACCACAGCCCACAGCATATTTGTGTTAAATAACTTGCAAGCACTAGCTAGCTCTGCGGAGGAGATCAGAAATAAACTGGATGACAGCTCCATACTAATGGATGCCCATAAATGTTGGGTGCTATGCATCCTGCACTCAATGGGGCTGGTTGAGCACTGCGTCAAGCTGGGTAAAAAGCTTTTACTGCTGTGCATGTTTCTGTGATGGTTAAAATCGGTTCCGTTTCAACTGTAACTTGTTAAATTTCAAACAAGCACCGTCGTGCTTTCCCCCCATGCTGCTCCTCACACTTGGGAGGAGCGGCCTGTGAACATCTGCAAAACTACCTCATTGTCCTCCTCCAAATGCTTCCAGAAAGCTCACCTTTGCTGTGATGGCTACAGAAAACTTGGTAACAGTTAGGCAGCTGGAGTGCAGAGACCACTGGCTACCATCCTGCTGACCAATCTCATCTAATTGTGCTTCCTCCATGTGTCTGTCTGTCTATGCACCTGCTGTCTCTCGTCTTACACAGAGACTGTAAACTCTTTGGGTCAGGGACGGTCTTTATTCCATTTGTACAGCGCCTATCACCACATAGTTCCTCTCTGTGACTGGGGTTCCTAGCTGCTATTGCAATACAATAAAATAAATAATATGTTTGGGCTACTACTTCAGAATACTCTCCTGACTTTTAAAAGGAAAGACTCACAATGCCTTATCAGTCATTTTGTCCATTTGATTTTTAATGCCTGATGTGTCATCTATTCTTCTGGATTATTTTTTATGATTATTCGTGATCTGCTTAGAAATGCATGTCCCAAATTTTGGGGTCATGTGCAAAATCCAGATCTCTCTTTGCAGTGAGTCAAACCTAATGTTCGGATCGAAAGGCTTTTACTGTAGGAAGTTGTTAGGAATCTGGATTAAGATTATGTAGTTTGGGCCCACTGATATTTATTACCATTGCCACATACAGTATCTTTTTTCAAGGCTCTCATTAGGGAAGTACTTGAAGCCAGTTCCCATTGTCCTAATCTATATTATGACCAGGACTCATTTATATTTCAAAAGCCTGTGTGTGGGCCACCATCCTGTCTCTGTCACCAACAGAAGCTAGTTCAATAAGAGATATTACCTCACTAATCTTGTCTCTCTAATACCGTGGGACCTCCAGAGTTAAATGCATAAACTGCTACAGCTTGAACTACAGAGCCTTGTTTACTGGGTCTGTAACTAGAGCTTGGCATTTTCAAAATGTTAAAAAATAAATTGGGTCAGACCAAAGGCTGAGGTTTTTTTGAAATTTTTTCGAAAATTTAAGTTGAAAAAAAATTTCATTTTGAGTCAATCAAAATATTTTGTTTAGCTATCCAACGTTCTGAACTGGTTTTGAAGGTCTTAAAAAAAAGAAGAGATTATTTTGATATAAAAAAGCCCTTTCAAACTGAAAAAAGGAAAAACATTTCAATTTTTTAAAGATTTTCAGACAATTAGGTGAAATCGACATGAATTCGCAAAATGTTTTGGTGTCACCAAATCTGTATTTTTGCTCTCCCCCCACCCAAAAAAAGAAAAAGCTTTGGCCCAAACTATTCCACTCAGCTTGAGCGGTACCAGATTCCTATCCTCTGTGGCCCAGGTGCAGAGTGGCCCAGTAACACACATTGAGCAGCAGAGTGTGTGTGTGTGTGTGTGTGTGTGTGTGTGTGTGTGTGTGTGTTGGGGTCAGAGAGGGGAAGGGGCTTGCTTGTAAAGAAACTGCTTCCCTGGTGAAACTTAGAACTTTGGAGGGCTTAAGAAAAAAAATAAATGAATGAGCATTTTATCAACACGAATGTCATCGGCAGCGAAAAACAAACAGTGATCCACCCACTGTGCTACTTTACAAGGCATTCAATCAATAAAATGAGAACGGGCCTGTGTCAGGTTTATTGGCTGGGTTCAGACCGTACACCACTACCTACGGTCAGAGCGCTGCCTTTGACTCCTGGCAGCTGGGATTTTTTTTACCCCGCCCCTCCCACCTCCAGCCCTACAATGCTTCATTGTTTAACGTGGGCCTTGTGTGAAACTAAAAAAAAAAAAAAAAAAAAAAGTCTTGTTTGTTTTGCCTGCTGGGCCCTCTTATCTTATCAGCTTTGGACCTACAATAGGCCAGGTGTACTCACCATTTTACCATCAGGCGAGAGTAAATTGTGGCCTGGGTCCAACCCTGCTGGAGAAACCTGCTGTAGGACGGACTGGCTGGTGGTCACCATGGTGTTGTTGCCGTGGTGACTGATTGTAGAAGAGGAAGTGACCTCATTGTTCCCCTGCTGGCTGTATCGGACTCCTGCAAAAACAAGGCCAAGTGCAGTGTGTTAACAACCCCTATCTGCCAGACAGTCAGAGGGTTGCCAACTGTTTAATTGCACAAACCGAAACACCCTTGCCCCGCCCCTGCCCTTCTCAGAGGCCCCGCCCCTTCTCCAAGGCCCCGCCCCCTCTCACTTCATCCCTCCCCAATTGCTCTCTCTCCCCCCCCAACTCACTTTCACCAGGCTGGGATGGAGCTGAGGGGTTCGGAGTGTGGAGGGGGCTCCAGGCTGAGCCTGGAGCAGGGGATTGGGATGCACAAGGGCTGTGGGGTGCAGGAGGGGGCTGAGGCAGGGGGTTGGGGTGCAGGAGGGTGTGGAGGTGCAGGAGGGGGTGGGGGTGCAGGCTCCAACCGGGCGGTGCTTACCTCGGGCAGCTCCCGGAAGCGACTGGCATATCAGCTCCTAGGCTCAGGGGCGGCCAGGTGGCTCTGTGCGCTGCCCCTGCCTGCAGGCACCACGCCCGCAGCTCTCATTGGCCACGGTTCCCGGCCAATGGGAGCTGCAGAGTCGGCGCTCGGGGTGGGGGCAGCGGGCAGAGCCCCCATGGCCATCCCTGCATCTAGGAGCCAGAGGGACATGACGGTTGATTCCGGGAGCCGTAGGGAGCCTGCCTTAGCCCCTCTGCACTGCTGACCAGACTTTTAGCAGCCTATTAAAATCCCCCAGATTGGTTTCAGTAGCCTCCGGGAGATCGATTCCGGGAGACTCCCGGCCAATCCAGGAGGGTTGGCAACCTAGTCAAAGCATTTTCATTATATACGGCAGGTTATATATAAACAGCAGCAAACAATCAGTCAGCATGATATGGTGACGTTTCTGGGGAGAAAAAAGGACATTTTTCACGGCTTTTATTTAAAATAAATAATAAATAATAATAATAAAAGACACCAGGGATAAAACTCTTCCGATACTGCACTGTCAGAGACATCTATACATCCGTTACCAAGGCAGCCACGATACTTCATGATCTTGTTGCTCTGTGTCTTTGTTACTAGTCTTCCGTGTGCGCTTGCAAAAACACCAGGCTTCATTACTGGTGTTTTCTTACAAGAACCACACGAGATGGGCTCAAGTGGGATCTAGATTCCTAACACTCCGAAGCTCACGAGCCAGAAATTTGCTTTGGGCCTGTTTTATCTGAACCCACAATGTTTGAGGCAGGGGGAAAGTTGGGGGTAAGTTTTGGGTTTGCTTCATCTCTCTAATCACGGACAACAAAAGCAGTGAGAGCAAGACATTGGGAAAGGGGCTTGAAATTTTTTGCGCCTTAGTTCTGCTCAGTTGTGTCTTCTATCTCAGAGTGGTTTGGTTTGTTTCGCACTTACTTTCTCAGCCCTGGTTTGAAACAATTTAATTTGCTTTTAAACCTCTCATTTTGATGGCACAGACGTAGGAATTCTGAAGTAAAGGCAGGACTGTTTGGGCTGCTCATTCACATGCAGTTATCCATAATGCTCTTCCTTCTAGCAAACAGTTACACCTCTACCTTGATATAACGCTGTCCGCGGGAGCCAAAAAAAATCTTACTGCGTTATAGGTGAAACCGCGTTATATTGAACTTACTTTGATCCACCGGAGTGCGCAGCCCTCCCGCCCCCCCCGGAGCACTGCTTTACCGCGTTATATCCGAATTCATGTTATATCAGGTCGCGTTATATCGAGGTAGCGGTGTATTTCAGAACCATGTTAAAGAGTCAGAGAAAACCGGTGATGCACGGAATCCGGTGCTACGCGCTTTGCTAGCAGAATTGGGGACTGTTTCTCCCCTGTCTTCCTAAATTCAGGTTAGCGCAAAGTTTCCAAGGTGCCCTCAGGCAGGTCTTAATTGCACCTGCAATTTGTTTTTCATAATTATTTACATGTGTAAATCAGACAGTTGGGTGTCTCGCCCCCCCCCCCCCCCGCCAGTTTGTGCATGCAAGTGCCATTCCTATGTGCAAATGCAGCATTTTGCATGCAAAAAAGCCAGCAACCAAAACGCAGAGGGCAACTGTAAACCATGTTGCTTTAAAATATATGTTGCTGTTGTTGCATTTGGATTTGCTTTTACACCACCTGTTCTTTTCGACAGGTTACCCACTACTCTGCAGTCACGCCATCTATTGCATTAGATCAGTGACAGGCAGAATGAGAGTGCTCAGAATATGCGCAGCACGGTTTAAGCCTGTCTAATTGCACTTTATGCAACATGTATTCGTTGCTGGGCTGAGAGCCGTTTCAGGGCTGTAAAACCCTTGATGGAGAGCTTTTGTGCAAGGGACACCTTTCCACAGATGTTTACAACCTTCCCTCCCCGCCCCCCCCTCCAAACAGTAAAAGCTAGAAAGCCAACAAGAGAGAAAGTACACAATGCGTGCTGACAAGCTGGCATGCACCCAGGAGTCAAAGGCCCCGCATTTATTTTACTGTCAGTCAAAGTTCTGTCCCCAAATGGGTTGTAAAGACAACCTCAGCGGAGAAGGCCAAAGCTAGTCAAGGACTCGCAGGGAAGCACATGGAAAAACGATGTCACCTCTGATCTAGTCCCAGCTGCTGTTATTTAACTGCAGACTTGACGGCAGGCCTGGGGACCGACACAGGAAGAACCCCAGCACTCACTTCCCAGATTCCCCTGCACCCAGTTCTTATGTCACTAAAAATGTTTTTAATTTTAGTCCTGGTGCAAGTTGCCAGGCTGGCGCCCTGGTGACTCAAGGCCTCTATTTATCAGCACAATGGAGAGTGGCCGAACAAGATTCATCACCTTGTTCCACCTATGACCGCCCTCTCCCTGTGGCTGCGATCTCTCAGGGCAAGAGGGCATCCCATGTCAATTCAGTTCTTGGCCTTGCTATCTCGGACCCTGATCCTGAGGTGAGATCTCTGCAGATGTACCCCAACACCGTCCAAGAGCACCACTGGCTTCAATGGGGTCTGTGTGGGTGCAAAGATTCACCCACTGGGGAGCCAGTTGCAGTGTGCCCTTCACCCTGGTATCTGGGCCTCACTGGTGAGACAACCCACCGACGTGCCAAAGAGAATTACTTGTCATGATGTTTTGAAATGACATGGACACTCTCCCACTCTCCCAACCAGGATAGGAACCCTCTCCCCTCAACTAGGCTACAACTGCAAACAAGGTATCATACTCAGGAATCTGTCAGTGTTTATGACAACGTTTAAAAAATGGCTGACAATCAGGGCCAAAAATTAACTTCAGTTTTCTGGGTAAATATCAGGGTTAATATTGGAGATCAGGAGGACAGAAAAAAAGCATCAAATAAGAGAAAAATAAGAGTACTGAAAGTCAAAGCAGTTTAATGTATGGTTTACATACATTAACAGTACATACACAGATGTACACACATCCATATGTATCTTCCACTACGTTTCTTTACTTTAGCAGGCGGCCTTGCATTTACACTTCGACTAACTTATTAGGAACACATTTCCTAATGTTACGTATTGGATTTTCTTACCATAGTCAGTCTTTTCATCCACTCGCGTGGTCTAAAATTTGGGCGAAAACCAAGAGTCTACGCTGCGATCACGACTGCAGCTTGAGTTGACATACCTGAGCTAGCCAGCCTGGGTCCCAGAGCAGCGAAGCCATAGCAATCCATGCTTTAGCATGGGCTAGCCAGCGAGTAATTACCCAGGGCTCTGGACGGGCCACGCTTAAGCCTGTGCTGTTACAGCTTCACCGCTCCAGGACCCAAGCTAGCAACATTAAAGGTAGCTCAGGTACATCTACTCCTGCCCCAATCAGGTCCCAGGACTGCAGCATAGACATACCCACAGTTATAGCTATAGATACATCTGGACACTCCTGTCCTGTACTGGTTTGGACTGTGTGGTGAGTGAATCTGTGTCCCATGAGATGACTATTCCGCCCCTTCTGGCCCCCCATCTCCTGATTCTCTCAGCTATCGAAAAGTCTTCCTAGCAGCCCAGCGCAGTCTGGTTCTGACTCCCTTTCCAGGCTTTTATGAATCACGTTTCCGCTCCGGACTCAGTCCTGAGACACGTATGAGTAGCAGATCGTGTCTGGGAAATAAAAGAATGACAGATCCAGAGGGAAGAGGACATCTCAGCCCATCAGAGTCTACGTGCACCAACGATCCAGTCTGGAGTTAGCACAATGCTTCAGTATAAATATATTTAATCTGGCTAAAATAATTCCCTGCATTGATAACCTGCAATGTGTCATTGGAAGGCATCTACAGCAGATCACAAATAATTAACTGAGGAAACCCACTGGAAACAAAAGCCGCTTTTACAAGGCCGCCTTGACAAATGCGGCATAAAAGCCATTTATTATAAACAGTCAAGCACTACATATAACAAGCAGGTTTAAGACACTCTCTTGGGAGATAGAAGTGACCGCTTGTGACAGGTACAGGACCGACAGCCCTGGAGCCTCATTGCCTCTGTCTGTCCACAGAACAGATGCATCTCTGCTGCCCATGCTGTAATTGCCTCGCCATTGTGCCTCAGCCCTGACTGAGAGGAACAACACCTCGAAAGGGGTTCAGTCCCAGGGCCCGTTCCATCCTTAGCCTCTGTGGTGAGACCCCAGTAAGAAAGCTAGTTAGCACCAGCTGAGGTGCAGAGTCCCGTCCAGTAAGAAACTGGAGTGAGACCACCAACTCATTCACACAGGCCACCGCAAAGCTTTGAGATGTGACAAATATTGACAACATAGCATCTGTCATTGCCAAGAATCCGACAGGTTCTTACAAACATCTTTGAAAGGCTCCAAGTTAGAGCCAGGTGAAATTTTTTAGCCAAATGTTTTTTTTCCCCACCAAAAAAATAAAATAAAAATAAAATCCAGATTCAGGTCAACTGCAATATTTTGCAAATACATGTCAAATTCACCAAAATCGTCTCAGTTGATAATAACTCACCCCTCCCCCGCCCAAAATCCCAAGACATTGAAACCTTTTATTTCGACATTTTCAAGATGAAACATTTTGATTTTGCAATTTGAAAA